ATTATGAGGCTAATAATGGGTATCACGATCTATGCTTCATAACTTCTATTTTTTCTGCTATAAAAACTTGCTCCGTATTAAATTATATCTAAAATTCACTCCTATTAATTTCAATATGCGAGTCTAATGTAATACTCCCTCCGGTTCTTTTTAAACTTCAGTGTTTGACTTCACAGTTATTAAGGAAATAAAGTTGACTTTACTGTAGAGTACACTGTTGAGACACTGTTTGACACTGTTGAGACACTGTTTGGCACTGTTGAGACACTGTTTGGCACTGTTTAGCACTGTTTAACACTGTTTTGATGTATATTTCTTTGCCAAATAAGGAAATAAGGAAGTGTGAAGTTTATTTTGGACCATCCCAAAAAGGAAAGTGTGAAGTTTATTTAGAACCGGAGGGAGTATGATACTTTTGAAATATGCATTGATATGACATTTTAAAAATGAGCATAACATCAGTATCAAATGAGCATACATATCTAACAAAGTGCACGTTGATATGAAAATCGTAAGGTTTGTTAGTTGAACATCATGACATTTTAAATGAGCATCAAACCTCAACTATTGAGATGAAAATCACGACTTCTGGAGAATGAGTAATAATGAACTTTTAATGAGCACCCTAACTATTCTATTGAGTATTAGGAGTCTAATATTCAGAATCGTGATCTCTACTTTACAAACTTCTAATTCACTTTCTTTTTGTTATTTTTTTATCGTAAGGTTTGTTAGTTAAGCATTGATATGAAAATTGTAAGTTTTATTCGTTGAGCATCAAATCCCCGTTATTGAGTATTGGAATGTGCGATTGAGTATCATGATTTGTGGTCTCGTGTCTATAATCAACTCTTATATAAATCTAATGTAATATGAGATTTTTGAAATGTGCATTGCTAAAACATTTTAAAAATGAGCATAACAGAGATACTAAATGAACATACATAATTTACAAAATGAGTATTCAAAAATTCAAAAGCTCATTTGTATATGTTCATTTTTTAGGCGATCTACTCATTTGAGTTTAAGCTAAAACTCATTTGTAATGTGCTCAGAATAATATATAAAAAAAAATCAACAAATAAACAAACCAAAAGAAGTAAAAAATAAGACTAAACAAAATAAAGAAAAATCAAAAGCAAAGAAAAAGTCAAAAGCAAAAGAGAAAACTAGATGGCGGTTGTGCACAGAGCAAAAAGCAACCTCTTGGCCACAACGAAACAACGTTGAACGGCGCTTCGTACTTCCTTCACCAGATCGCCGCTTCCTTCATTCGAACACCCAGCGAGCGAGCAGCAACGGAAGGAATTTTCAGGACTTCTAACAGATCGGCTCTTCCTTGATCAGACTTCAGCGAGCTAGCAGATCAACGCCTCCATCATCAGACCTAGCGAGCAACAAGGGATCGGAAGACAGAACATTCACGATTGAGGTTCTAGTTAATTGCAAAAATACCCGGTTGACAACCGGGTGTACGGTATAATTTACCGCCGAAGGATCAGAAACAGTTAGGATGTTTTTACTTGGATTGTAATTTGTTGGTCTGGTCTGATCTGGTCTGGTCTGGTCTGGTCTGGTTTCTTTGTATTTTTATAACTACCCAAGTCTGATCTGGTCTGGTCTAATCTGATCTGGTCTGGTCTGGTGTGGAACAAATTACAGTCCAAGTAAAAACATCCTTATAAGTACATCCAAACTCCCCTTTAAAAATACACATCAAGAACTTTAACATTATTTTTGACAATATAATTCTGGTACCTCAATAAATAAAATATGATCAAGATATAAATAATGAAAGTCTCTTTTCATGAATATTACTAAATTAAATTCAAAAGACAAAAATATTATTTTAAACTTTTAAGAAAAAGTGACTTATTTAGTGACTTGTCATCTAACATATAAATAAAGTGATCAAAAACATGATGCCACGAACATGATTAATGGAGCAGCAGGTATGCTAGCGAGCTCGAAAGAAGTTCAAGCAGGTGAGGTTATTTATAAGAGGCAAGGAAATAAGGAGGAAGAGAAGTGGAAGAAACCGGCAAGAGGATATATTAAAATTAATGTTGATGGGGCGGTTAACCAACCTGGAAGGATCCGAGCGTGAGGATGGGTGGCTCGTTAAGAAAATGCAAATTTTATCATAGCATAGGGGGCTTGCGTGAGGCAAATTGGTCAGCGACCGAGACGGGAGCAACAGGACTGAAGGAGACCATAGCGGGTGCAATTGAGGAAGGACGAAGCAGAGTAGAATTTGAGACATATGCTATGACGGTGGTACATGGGATACACAACGGGGGCGGGTCTTCCTATTTACACTTGATTATGGAAGATATCAGGGGTGTTCTTGAAACAGAAAGTATATTTATTGTCTATTTTTGTAAACGGCCTAAGAATCGTGTTGCTCATGCGCTTGCAAGAGCACACATTAATGTCTCAAATCAAGATATCAATTATGATGTAATTCCGCATTTTATTGTTAACCACATGGCTAATGACCTTTTGAGTTAATAAGATTCGTTGGAGTTGATGAAAAAAAGTACTCCAAGGTTTATATCAATTAAATTTTGTAAGGTTTTACTCTTTGCTCATTTAGGGGGCGTTTGGAGTTTTATAAATGGTCTGAAAAGCCTTAAAATACAAAAGAAAAACTGCCAAACACATGGCAAATGGGCTGTTCCGGTTGTTTTTTCTTATCAGCCAAAAAAGTAACCATACGGTTAATTTTTTAGCTGAAATTTATTTATGCATCTGCTGCCAACCTAAAATACTTGTTTACCCTTTTATTTTAGCATCTTCGTTGCTTGGCCATAGCTCTAATCCAGATTGACAACGAGAACCTCTTTCCTGCTACACATACTTTTATTTCATATTCACAAATGATTTTTAGAGCTGTTTTTTGCTAACAGGAAGAAGGGAACTGCTACCTGCATGATTAAGTATTGCTTTTTGCTAATTCTTATGACAATTTCGATACTTTTTTTTGCTCCAACAAAACAAATGAAAATATTGCAAATAGATTAAAAAGGTGTCATTCTATATATTGTAATTATCTATCTTAAAAGGGGAAAATGTTCAAAGAGGTCCTATTATTTCTAATCTGTCACATGTATAATACAATATAAAATTGGATGTAAGAGTAAGAATGAAATTTACAAAGTAATCAATTATTATTTCGTTAAAAAAATCAATTATTTAAGTAGACTTATAATTACCTAATCAAGCAAAAGTAATTTATTAGTAATATTAACATCCGTATATTTAACACAAATAAGCTAATACCCTTTATAGTAATTTTACACTCAATCAGCCAATTCAACCAACATATTACCAAATACTTTTACTTCAACAAATTCAGTCTTTTCATGCTTTTCAGTCATTCCAGTCAATGCAGCTGTTACCAAACAGACCCTCAGGATCTTTAAATAGATCTCGGGAGTTGGAAGGAGAGCTGGGGAGAAATTGAACTATTTTTAGTGATCCACATTGGATCCAGAGAAGTAAGATAAAACTTATAAGTACTATGTATAAATTAGTATGTCCACTCGAAATGAATTTTTTTAGATAAAAGGCTTTGAATCCGAAACTTTAGGGTCTCACAGTCTCACTTGTTTTTGCCCATAAAATATTGATAGAATGTATAAAAAGAAAAGAAAAATAACATTGATACAAAAGTTGAATCGTGTGACATTAATTACTAGATAATTCATATTGATTTACATATATGCTTTTTTATAGCACATCCAATTATATTGAAGTTTGCGCAATCCGATGGGAAGCAAGGGATCACAATGATTACATTACAGATCTGCCAGAGATGAGAGGAGAGCATTTATATCACCAGAAATATTTTAAATGAAGAAAAAGAATGTGATATCTCCATGCATGAGCAAAACTTTTTAAGACAAAGGGAAGAAGACAAGTTGAAAATGGCTTATTTACCCTTCATTTTGTACTCTACATGAAGATGATTGTGTCCTTACCCTAACTATTCATTTTTGCTCCAACTCCTCTAGTTTTTATACTTTTCTCAAAATAACTTAATTATCACTTGTTTCTACCATTTATCTTCTCTTTTTTCTTTCATACCTCTTTCTTCATTCAAAGAAAGGCTAATAATGATACTCCACAAAGTAAAGTGTTCTAATGACTTTTACATTCTTGTTAGTTTTTAGAACTATTTATGATTGACTTTTTATAAGTAGCAAACGTTTAAAATCCTTGACAATAAATTAAATACCAACAATGAACTAAATTATACCATTTATACGTAGTATCTATCATGACTTTGGTTATGAATAACACTTCTTTCTGTAATCTGTCATTACGATTCCTGGCCAATCATGGGTCAGTAAAAAATGTACGTTTCCATATTCCTTGCATGCCCATGTGGATGCAGATGTTCCCTTACAGAGTTACAGTCACACCACTCATCACAAGGGTGAAATGGCACCATTAAGACCATTTGTAGTGGTTATGAGTCTATATTGTTAAATTTGGACTCCGTCCATATGAAAACAGTGTTTAGACTCCGTCAATACTGTTTTCCCTGCATCCGTGCACCGTCAATAAAATACACTCTGTGTATTTTTTTGCATATCAATTTAGTAAAATATTAACTAAATTATTATAATTAATATTTTACTTTTAATTTTTTCCCTGAATAATTATGAAACAAAAAATACACATTTCGATGTAAAAATAAATAAATCTCATTAATTATTTTTTAATGTTTTTCGATTAACAAAAAATGAACTTAGTTCAAGTAAAGTTCGATTATAAAATATTCAGTTATTTTTTAAGGCTCTATAAATGAAAATTTTGTGTTTCATATTTTTGGGCTCAAGAAAAGTTCAACAGCTAAAACTTCAGTTTTTTTTTTCATTTTATATATTACATATTGGTGTCATATGAAAGATCTTAAAAATTCATGAATTTTGATATATTTCTTGAAAACATTGAAAAACAAACACAAAAGTTATAAGAGTTTGAAATAATTAGGGGTAATAATGACATCACCATGATGGAAGCATGTTTTCTTTCCAAGCAACGTATGACCCTGCGTGCTAGCCCCTTCTCTTATTTTAATTTCCTTTTCATTTACTTTTTGGCTGGCAATACACCTTCCAAATTTAAACCCTTCCATCCCCTTCTCCATTTTTACTACCCTTCATAACCCACCAACGTATGAAATTAGGAGTCCAAAAATGCCATTTTAACATTTTGGACTCCTAATACCTCACCACTCCAATCAGCCTAAATCTTGGAAACAAAACAAAACCATTCTTTTTGTTTTATTTTATGCAGGAACACCCAAGGATTGACAGATCACTTGAGCCTGTTGGGTACAAAACAAAACTCAACTCATTTGTCTAAAGCTGCAAGTGGAGTGACACTAGCAAGAGATCATCCCAATTGATCCACTGTTTCTTATTTAGGTGTAAGATTAATGCAATAAACACGGGATCCCAAATGCTTTACTTCAAGACCAGCTTTTTCACAACCAACAAAAAACAGTGACTCGTCCTCTTTCCCTATTCTCCGCCTCCAGCTCATTAGAAATGCTGGTCTGGGCAATGCAGGCAACACATCTGAGATCCCAAAATCAATCTGTGTTTAGTAGGATGTTGTTCAAAAGAGCACGCACAAGCAAAAAAACAATATCGAACAGCCATTTTCCGTGTATAAAAGAAAGTGGCTGAGGTAGAGACAGGGAAACACTGCATACCATGTTGTTCATAACCTGGAGAATCAGAGTCAATAACTTCAGGTGTATACGTTTTCAGCAGACATGACAGCGTTTTGATCAAATTTGGATACTCTTTAACATCTGCATGGAGTGTAGAATGGAAAAGGGAATCAAAACGTATACATAAAATATTGGCACATGAAAGTTCCTATAATGTTCGTCAACATTAAGAAAATATGTGAGGGCATTCATCACCAAAAAATGTAATAAAGTCCACTTCAGTTTATGTGGCTTACACTAGAGTTTGCAGCTCCATTTGGCTAGTAAATTTGGCCTAAAGGGGTATTAGAAGCAGATAATTTTTTTAAGCCCGCACACTCTGTCTTAGTTGGAATGTGTGGCTTGTTTGAGCATGATGGGGTAAAATACCAGTAAGGTTTGGCATTCCATTCTAAAAGGTTGTAGAAGGTCAGCCTGATAAGCGCAAGAAGACCTTGTATGTTTGGATTATATTTTTGTATTTGGCCTTAACGATGATTTAATAGTTTACACACTTTACAAGTAATGCTCATGGCACATCAAATCAAATACTTACACAGCAAGATATCGCTTGCAATTATAAGGTCCCAGTGTGGGTCGGGAATCGGAAAGGCATCTCCCCATGTATCTGGCATTCTAAAAACTTAAATCACGAGAAAAAAAAACGTACCAACATACCCAATGAACATTAAGCAGAGAGTTGAATAAAAATCAAAAGAATGAAAAAGAACCAACGGTTTAAATGAGGATGGGCAGGTGAAATTCCATTGGCTTGGAAGTTATGGGATATATTCTCCTCGATAGATTTGTCATCATAATCTGATGTCGTGATATCAAGCTTAAATGATTTTTGTAGAAAGATGGCCAATGCACCAGTTCCACTGTAAGATAATAAACCATTATTAACGAAAGCCCAATATAATGATTGGAATTAGAGAATTTTTCAGAAAGCTTTCAAGATACTTCAAGCATTTAATTAGCATATCTTTTAGTTATGATTAATTCTAACTGCAGATTTCTAATAAATAGGGAAAAAGACACTCACATAAATTACTTCCAGTGGAGGGAAAAATAACTACTTTTGAAACACACATAAATGACTCACCATTAAGATGAATAAAAACACACACAAATCTTCAATTGCTAACATATTTACCTTTGCTTACGAATTTGGACATGTCCAAGGTAGAAGAGTAGACATTTTTTGTTTCTAAAGCTTAGAAGGAAGACAATTACTACGTAATTCAGAATACTAGATGCATAGGAGACATAGGACGGAGTTAACTATTTTTTGTTTGGAGTTAAACTGAGATGGGTGATAATTTTATATCATCCACTTATGAATATATGAGTTTTTGTTTGAGTTGGTCTGGCCTTTGGGATATAATTTCTACGAATTATGGATCCTTTTTGTGAAAGTTTGCTGCTTAAGAGGAAATTTGTAGTCATGTAGGTGTGGTTTTTTTAAGGAAACCAACGATTTTATTAGAAATATGGAAATACAGGAATACACAATACAAAAAGCCAAAAATGCATAAGAGAAATACAAAAGTGATGTTGCCAAAAATAAAACGCTGAAGACCTGTTGTCATTTGCTTGGTTTCCGCCAAAAGTGGGTTAGTGTGGTGGCCCTATTACTGGTCAAGAGATGCTGGACCATACAATGTAGGTGTGGTTGTTATTAAGGTGCTTTCGGTACTCTGTAGAACAATAATTTCCCATCCTTCAAAACAATGACCTTATGTGTCATATCTTTGCCAATATCTCCGTATTTATGTTGATCATCAGTATTTGAAAGTTGAAAATATCACATGCAGATAACTCGTTACCATCCAACTTCAGACCATGATAAAACACTTCAAACATTGTGTTTTAAAATAGTTTGTCTTGATTTTATTGACTTGTTGTGCATATATTGTAAATTTCTTTCAAGATACTCCCTCCGTCCCCTTAAGTTTGTCCCGTTTTACCTTTTTCGTCCGTCCCACTAAGTTTGTCCCATACCATATTTGGTAACATTTGAGTGGTTAGAATTCATTCTTACTTTATTTACACTTTATCAATTCAATACCAACCACACAATTCCACTTTTTCTTAAAAACCACACCACACCCCTCCGTCCCAAACTTAGGGGGACGGAGGGAGTAGAATACAAGCCCGAATGTTGTTCAAAGACATTCTGATATTTAGTGACCAAAACAATAGCAATTAAGGGGTTGTTTGGTTTCTCATACTAGATCAAGATAAGTATTCCCGCTATCCACCTCTCCAGTCTGCACTGTTGGTTTCTCAAGTTTTGTATGACCTATACCACACTGACACAAAACTTGGGATTATAATATTTTGGATATAGATATAAAATTACCAAGTCTCTTTTTTTAGCACCACAGTACTGTTATACTATCCTCCGTTTTTATTTGCAACATGATGAATTTAAAACAGTATACACATGTTCTACTTCGAATACATTTTATTTATTAGTTTATGAGAATTATTTTAAAAAATATTGTTCGATTTGTCTTATTACAATTTTTCAAAATCTGATTTTTAATTTTTTTTAATAATAGAGAATAAGATATATTGACGGTCAAAGGTGTGCGTTGGCAAATGTGCAAAGAAGATGAACGGAGGAAGTACATGAATTATTCTTCCCTTATGTATTCATTTTTGGCTTGTTCAGTAATCATGCCAAACTTGACTTGGCAAGTCCATAAATTAAACCCAGGATGGGCTTTGATTTAGGACTCCCTTATTTATGCCAAATGCGCAGCTTGGTTAGCTATATACATTCATTAAGTCTTGAAAACAGAAAAAAATAGTAGATAAATAAACCCACAAAAAATGACACATTTAAGAAGTTACTTCCTCTGTTCTATTTTTATTTGCAACGCTTCACTTTTCACGTTTGCAACACACATCTTTGACCATTAAAATATTTAATTCCTTAATTGTAAAAATTTCAAAAATCAATCACATTTTGAAAATTTAAAGTGAGAAGCATTTTATTATATTTTAAAAAATTAATGCATTCGTAAATAAAATATAGTCAAAGTAGAGCACATGAATAGTGTGAAATTTCTAAAGTTGCAAGTTGCAACTATTTAAGAACAGAGGCAGTATATACAAACTTTTAACATTACTTTGTATAATAGCTTCATGTAAAAAAACATACCACAAATGCTTCATGTATCTCATGAGTTAGAAATGTGTATAATCTTAAGAGGATTGATGATTGAGTTAGGCACTTGGGCATGTTCAAGTACCAAACTAATATGGAATGCAAACTATTAGAGCAGGGTTTTAAGCATACAGATGTTGCTATCATGTTGCTATCAACATTGATATACCCTACAATAATGCAACTTTCGTACCAGATATCAGAGTTAGCAATAACAATTCCACCACTACAGCTATGAACTCTATCCCGCTTTGTAAAATGATATAAAATCCCAGCCCTGCTAGAATTTGAACCAACCAAATCTAGATTTCTGTTCAAAGTGTCAAATGCTTTGTCTTATATGCAAACAGGGCAGATAAGGTGATCTTATCAAATTAAATTTCAACAACTGGATCAATCCCAAATGCAGGCCTCTAAGCATATGGAATTGTGTAAAGCATGAAAAGAAACACAAAGCTTCTCAATATGGAGTCTAGAAAGAGGGGTACCTGCCTAACTCAAGTATCCTCAGACCTTCCAACCAGGATCTATGTTCAACTAGCCACTCTGCAAATGCAAACGTCCCAGGCCAAAGTAAATTTGCATTCAACTCGTGGAAACAAAACTCTCGAACAAGCAATACCTGTACATAAAACCAATATTTATACGATCAATTAATAAGAACAACATTGGCCATAAGCAGTGGCGAAGACAGAATCTTGTAACTAGAGGGCCTGCACTTCAAATTTAATACTTTGAGGCCAAAACTTCACATTCTCCTAAATTTAGGAAGACCCGGTCCTGAGTCCTGACATTATAGATCGACCCTGACGGGAGAACATCCAAAGATTGAATCTATGGATGCTATAGAAATGTAAAACAAAAGTTTTATCATCAAAACCAAAAACCCCAAAATCCAAAACGTAAATCAACCAAATATAAAACCAAGAAACCAAAGAAGCTAATAAGAAACATTCTTATTAGCAAAATTTAACTATTAAACATTTATATTAGATTATTTGATGGATGACGATTGATGAAGCTACATGCTTAAATTGGATGGAACAAACTAGCAGTGTAGCACAGCTACTACTTTCAATTAGAGAGGCAAAGGATACTGGATACACCATATATGGAGTAATTCTTTCAGGCTACAATTCACATTTTCAGTAGACCAAAACAGACTGCAAATTTCTAAATTCGAAACATAATAGATTACATTTTCAATCACATAACATAACCAAAGAATCCTCAGTGTACATGAGAGTAGGACCAAAATTAAACTATTATGTGATGAATTGGACGAAGTAGCAAAGTGTGTCCATGTGGCAATGTCTGTTCAGCTTTTACGGTTGAAAAAAATTAAACTTTATGGTTAAATTTTGGATATTGTCTGAGTTAAAGCTTTGACAATCCAAAAAACCCTAAAACGTTTAGAATTTTCCCCCTTTTTTTGGAGAATTGGGAAGTGTGAAATCATTTCAGGAGAATTACCATCCCAGGAAACTGGTGGCTCCTCTCTACGAAGTTTTGGTTTTGAGAATCTGTAATCTCCTCATCTGCAAAGTGCAAAGAAGCCTCCTAGTGTGTAAAAATGGAGTATATGATAGTGTGTCGTATTACTCGTATAACATAGAAGAAAGTAAGTACACAGGTACCAGCAGAGTTGTAGTCGGAGTCGGCGAATATAGAAGATGGTGAGAAGAGAGCTGTTTCCATAGTACGTAGTTATAATTCTTCTATGTTATGTGGCGAATAGAGAATATGGGGAGAAGTGGGGAAGATTGAGATCCTCTGCCTCCGTGCGGCACAGTGCTATGCCGGCAGGGGCGGTGCGATGGAAGAAATGAAGCTGGAGAACAGAGAAATATCAGGGCAAAAAAACCGGTCCTAGTACTTTTAAAAGAAAGCAATAATGGTCAAATCGGACACTAACAACCTGTTTGGACGGAGTGTTGAACATGTTCCATGTGAGTAATAGAAACCTTAATAAAAAATGCTACAAGTATCCCACCTTTACCCCAATATGTACCTCATATAAAAGCCCTTCCAAAAAATTTACCCCCCTTCCTCCCCTTCCTCACCTGCCCCCAAGCTCCCCCCTCACCTCCATTTCCAAATCTCCCTCCCCTCCCACTTTTTCCGTACCCAACAAGTTTCGTAAAACTCCAAACCCATCCGCCACAGCCGTCGTCCTCACCCCCACCAACCAACCGAACCCCACAAACCAACCGCCTTCCTCACCCTCACGAACCAACCGAACCGCCGTCCGTCCTCACCCTTAGACATTGACGAACGACGAGGAGTTTAAGAAGTGCAAGAGGAGTTTAAGAACGACAAAAAGCTGTCCTCACCCCTTGACCCACCCCCACGAACCAACCAACCTCACACTTGGTTTCAAGCTCTGAGGCAGTGAAGAGGTAGTTCCCGTCCGACTGCACCTCCCCAAACGAGGTTGATGACGAAGGTGAGATGGTCTTGAAAGACTTGAGATGGTCCTTTTTCCTCATTTTTTGGTATTTTTTCGTCCAACTCTACATGAAAAACGATTGTCTGTCTGACAGACAAATTTGAATTGCAGTGTTTGTCTAGCTGAGCATTGTTTCACAATTGGTAGAGTCTTACATAAGATGTCTGTCCGGACAGACAAATTTATTTGTTTGAGTGTATGTATGCACATCTTCTTATTTTATAAATGTATTTTATAGTATGTGTGATGACTTTTGTGATGTCTCTCTTCGGATGTTGAAAATTGGTTTGTAGTTGTCTGTGAAGTGAAAAGAGTTGTCTGGCATTCTATTTGAATTGTCTGTAATGTGATATAAAATGTCTGGCCTTTCTTCTGAGTTGTCTGTCTACAGGTCGGGAGAATGTGGAGTGATTATGGCTTCCTTTGCAGAGCACCTGTTAATGGGAAAGCCATTGATTCTAGGTTGTGAGTATGCAAACACGTGGAACAAGAGATGTCAATACGTCGTTCGTTTGTGGCGATTGGAGAAGGTGGAGGAAGCATAAGAATTGTTATTAATGTGGGAATGTGTTTTTGTGGGTTGTTTTGATGAGTTTAGTAGAACTGTGTTTTATAGTACATTTTGATTAGTTTAGTAATTGTTAATGTGGTTATATAAAAGTGTTCGGAGATATGATTGTATTTATTAATGTACAGAGATAACCGTTGAATAGACAAACAACAGAGATAACCAGACAGACATTACTTTCACGCAAAAAGACAATAACTTTACACATACAGACCATACCGCAGATACCCAGACAAACAAAAGGTCAACATACATAAGTGGATGATTGTACATGTAATGTTTGCAAAAACTTACACATGTTCAAAAAACTGAATCCAATTGTTCAACATTGAACATGTAACATTGTACAATATTCAACACATTTTCCCAACTGTAAAATGAAAAAAATACATGTTCAAAAATTCACAAGTTCAAAATGGACACATTTTCCCAACACTCTATACTTCAGCATTCTTCAAGACTAGTTTATATAATCCTTGCATTTGTTTCTCCATTGCAAAAGAAGTCACACATGGTATCATTTTTGTAAATGAATTAGCGTCCGCTTGGAACTCTTTTTCAGCCTTACATTTTAAGTCATTCGTCATCTTGAAGTGAATACCTACGATTAATACACAACACATAGTCAGAACACATATTTGGTACAAATAACATATGTGAGGCATAATCCATTTGTCTGGAAGAGACATCTATTGTCTGACACAACCAACTTTTGTCAGGCCGTGAGACAGAGAGTAGTTAATTGGCCCAGACTACTAATGTCTGGCCCAGACAAAATTTGTCTGGTTGTAAGACAGAGAGTAGTTAATTGGCACAGACTACTAATGTCTGGCCCAGACAAAAATTGTCTGGCGGTAAGACAGAGAGTAGTTAATCAACCTTGTCACCTTCATCTCCCCATGTTAAGACATCCAAAAGAACCTCATCACTAAAGTGGGATACTTCCTTTCCCATGATATCCATCCAATAAGATCAAGGAAAGAATGGAAAAAAGTCTTGAATTTCAACAAAAACTTCATTGAGTAATTTCTACAAACATGTTATGGGCATAAAATGAATTAGAGAAATTACACTAAAATTTTAATTAATTAACACCTCAAAATCATTACAATGAAACAAACTAATCAATTATTCACTTTTATATCATACATAAAAGTTGTCTGGTCACACACACATTTTATATACGACTCTAACTCATATAAAACCATGTTCACTTCAAACAACTATGAAACCGCTTTCACTTTAGGCTAGACAGACACTGCAGTTCCAAAATGTATGTCCGCCAAACAAAATACAAACAAATGACGAAAAAAACATACTCTTCTCCAAGACTTCAACGTCCACACCTTCATCATCTTCTTCCCTTGAAGTCGTCGCTACTTCAACAGCGACCGGAGATGGCAGATTTCCACCTTCACCCACGTCATCAAGCTTGTGACCTTCATCTTCCCATGTCAAGCCATCCTAAACAACCTCATCGCTAAACTCGGATACTTCCTTCCCCATATATCCATCCAAGAAGATGAAAGAAAGAAGCAGGTGAGAGGATGGGTTGAGCACTGTAGCAAGTTTTGAAGGAGGAGAGGTGTTTTGGCGAAAAGTTGAGGAGTGGGTTGGGGAGATGTGAGAGAGGTGAGAGAAAATTATTTTTGGAAAGGGGTAAAAAGGATGGTAAAAAATGGGGTATTTATATGGGATAGGAAATGGGGTAAATTTGGGGTACCTATAGCATTTTTGAACCTTAATAAGTGTTAGCGTGGAAAGGGATGGGAAAGGAAGCATAAATGTAAAACATAAACTTACTTTGTTTGGAAGAGTTAAAAAATGAAGTGTTAATAATGAAACTGTTTTCATTTAAAATGACAAAAATGTCCTCCATAGTATTGTGAGGACGGAGGAAATAAGAAGCCATAGCAGCTGCCACGGTTGTTGTCTTCTCAGACTTCTCACCAGCTTATCAGTTTTCAATCCAGCTTGAGGTACACATGTTTCATACACACACGTACACATTCGTGTTTGTGAAGGTTTTTTTTGCCTGTATACAGACACAACGTATTTTCGTATTTGTGTTTGTATACAATCAAATGAATTTTGGAAAATAACTATGTTTTTGTATGTATATTTTGTTGAAGTTATCTTACCGAAATTGTTTGTCTACCTTCACGATTGAATTTTTAGCTGAATTTTTTATTGGATAAACTAGACTTCATGAAGAACATGATAAAAAAATCATCGAAAAATTCCACCTGGAAGGCCCTCTGATAGGCAAGTTCGGATGGGGCTTCCCGTCAAAACTACCTGAGGTGATCATTTCTCACAATAACAATAACAATAACAATAGCGATATCAATAGCGATAGCAATAGCAATAACAATAGCAATAACAATAACAATAACAATAACAATAATAATAAGGGAGAAGGAGCATAATGACCACTAAGGTCTAGACCAAGAAGCACATTGGACATTAAGGTTAGTTTTGACGCAACAATGTCATCATTTAAGCTTTTGGGGGGCATATTGCCCACCCACTAACCCACTCAAGATTTAACGTCTCATGCTTTCATATATTTAATGTTTATCTATTTTGTTTTTGTCTAATTTCTTTTTTTTTTTTTTACATATTTTCAATTTTATTTTTTACGTTGATTTCTTATAGAGTTGGTTTTTATAATTTATTATTTTTTATTATTTCTGTATAAATACATAAACAATCAGGTATGTAAATTTGGGAAGAAAGAAAAAAGAATTATTAGTTATTTAGTTCACCTAGAACCGTATGATCATAATACCAAATTAATCAATAATTTTAGTGTACTTTATCCATAAAAATATTGACAGAAGATATAGTACAGAATGAGAAATCAATTGTTTTCTACTTTTTTCTCTTTTTAGTTAATTATTTTTATTTTTCGGGTCAATAATACTAAACTTTGACTGATAAATATAATACTAATATATATATATATATATATATATATATATATAGTTCATTATATTTAAATTTAAATTTTTTATTCTTAACAATTAGCCTACCTACCAAACAAATTGTACTATCATTATGACACTTTCAAGTAGGAGTTCATAAGTTCAGATTTCACCCAGTCAAAAATTTTGACATTTAATTGAACATATATTATAATAAGCGAGAATATATAATATATGCATATGTGTGTGTATTAGTGAATGAAAGTATACATGTCTACCTGTAAATAAATAAATAAATTAGTACATATACTAAGTTATTAACTAAAAAGAGATAAAAACAGTAGAAAACGAATGATTTCTCATTCCGTATTAAATCTTCTGGGTAAACATTTTTATAATTTTATGGATGATACATGTTTTAGGTTAGCTTATAATCCTATTTCTTTTATTCTCATATTTACACACTTGATTTTATATATTTATATAGAAATTAAATGACAAAAAATTATACATTATAAAAGCCAACACCAATAATACACTATTAGTCTATAACAAATCAATATAAAAAAGATAAGTACAAAAAATACTAAAGAAATAAATTGAACGAAAAAAACAAAATTGATAAACATTAAATTAGTAAATCAAGGAAGATGATGAAAGCATGAGACATTAGTACGTTACATCTTGAATGGGTGGTCAATATGCCCCCAAAAGCTTACATGACGACATTTTTGCTCCAAAAATAGCCTTAATGTCTAATGTGCTTCTTAGTCTAAACCTTGGTGGTCAATATGCTCCTTCTCCCTAATAATAATAATAATAATAATAATAATAATACGGAGTACTAATTATAATAAGCAATATTTGTACCATATTCGCGTCCTATGCATGTGTGTGTGTGTGTCAATTAGAGTTATCAATTAACAATGTTTTAATTGTACTGTAATATTTTCTGGTCTAATCTATTCAAGGCATGTCTTGTCTGAACCGATATATGTCTGAT